TTTATTAAAGAGATACATATAGTGGTAGTAGCCTGCATATCGCCTTAGCGAGGGGTCAGGGTAAATGAAACCATCCATCCATCCATCCATCCATCCATCCGACTGTATAACTGAGCACATAAGCATGGTCTTATCGCTCATTTCAAAACCCCAGCTGCAGGTAGGTTATTATTTGTTAAAGGGGCAGATCGGCCTTCGAATGAAGGGTTTGGTAAACAATGCCGTCTCGTGAGGGGGACATTGAGGTCTGGAAGTTTCCGGAAGAGCATATAATTACCGTGTCTTCGTGACGTTGCAGACGATGCAGAATCCAGTGACAACATCAGTAAAGTTTACTAACGAGACGTATCCTGGACGCGAGGACGGACGCTCGTGTCCCTCTGGCTTCCATTGAGCCAGCCATGCCAGCCGCGAAGAGAGACGTTCGTGGCACCGTTTGGTTCGGACGAACTAGGTCGTCTGTGGCCTCTACGCAACATGCAGCTACGAGCACTGCCTCGGATCATGTCCCAAACAACCAGACGCTCAGTCATGCCACTTCCGGGCTGACTGGTCTACCGCCACAGCCGTCCGCTCCCAATCCGGCTCCCCGCGAAATCCTAGTACAAAATCCTTGGGAAGTATATGAACCTCGTGCCTGCATCTACTATGGGCAAATCATGGTGCTGGCTAGGCATCGAAAGAATAAGGCCAGCTTAGTTCACATCCAGATGCAGGCCGTGGAGCGATCGGCAATAGATATGTGTGTCCAGATGATCGATCGGCTTGCTCATCGCAGCATCCCGCGTCTGCTAGATGTTTTCCAGTATGCAGATCGATTTCTTCTCGTGTGGGAGCCATTCGAGTGCACTCTCCACCAGGCTTTAGTGTTGAGTTGCCACATCGCCGAAAGTGATGTGGCCCAGATATTGTGGCCTGTACGAGCCGTCCCCTTCCTACTAGAGGCAAGATGCTCATACACAGTTAACAGGTGTTAAAGTGCCTTCAGTTCTTACGCGGTCAATCGAGGGAGCTAGCCAGCCTGACTCCTCGAGATATCTTGTTCACCGAGGAGGGTGAAATAAAGATTGGTATGTCCGCCCCCACTACAGACTGCAGGCCACTGACATCGAGGGAGGTATAGCCGGTATCGAGAACAGTCGCCAAGTCGACCCTTCCCGTGCCGACGCAATGGCTTCTACGTTCAATGCTCTCCGGTCAATTCTGGACAAGATCATGCTGAAAAATGGCTCCACATTCACTTGGAGCCAGGAGATCCGAAGCTTTAAATCGGCGCTGGCCAAGAGCACCTCGGCGCGATGCTTGGATAATCTAGTGCAAGTAAGTTGGTTCATATTCAAGCTCCGTCATGCAATGGGGCTGCTGACCAGAAAGCAGCACACCTTTTTCGGGCAAGTGACCGGGGAGGGAGGCCTCAAAATACTAGTAGAGTTGGTGAACAGAACCATTTTCCACGAAATCACCGGCAACTAATCTTCTCTCAATATTCCTGGTTAGGGTCCGACGGAAGAACGACCGTTGGAAGTTTATTGGGCAAAATCTGCATAAGCCTTCGGATGAAGGATCTGGTGACAATATTGTAACATAACGGGAGAAATTGAGGTCTGGGGCTTCACAATGCCTGGATTTTGGGACACTTGAGACACAGGATTAATGCCAAGGCTCGCGATCGGAGAGAAAGACCGATCACAATCAAGACAACCATCATACTCGTATACTGCAGAAAACGTCAGCTTACCAGCCGGGGGGTACATTGTACTATTAGAGCTCGTGATCCATACTCCCGTACCACAATCCGAGAATAGTCCTTGCGCTATGATAGCTTACCAATATGCTTTATGCGGTGGCTCTATTAGTACTGCACTATCGATTCAGGATGTCTTTCTTGTCGCCATGGTTTACCCATTGTGGATACTATATAAGAGAATCATCTTGAATCTTTCCTAACCACGTCAATACTCCTCTTCTTGTTTATTCCAACTGCGTTTTTGAGCATGAAGGGATAGTCTGAAAATTTGCTCGTCTACCCATGCAGCTATGTCATTCATGGCCTCAGACAGCCCCTTCCTCCTCCTTTTAAGCCGATTCCAGTCGGATGTGGTATCATTCTGTACATTCTTTTCGGTCAAACTGGCTAGAATATTCTGGCCTGGGTTCCTCAGATGCCAGATGTGAAGATTTTCCTCTTCTGTTACATTGCGGTGATCTGTACTGTGGAGGCTGAACTTGCGCATTTTCAAACTGTTGTAATTCAAAGGAAGCTTGATT